CCTTTCCAAGGTGTGTTAGTGTCTGATGGTTCGAGGGCTCATACCTTTCAAGGTGTGTTAGTGTCTGATGGTTCCGAGGACTCATACCTTTCCAAGGTGTGTTAGTGTCTGATGGTTCCTGAGGGCTCATACCTTTCCAAGGTGTGTTAGTGTCTGATGGTTCCTGAGGCTCATACCTTTCCAAGTGTAGTTTAGTGTCTGATGGTTCCTGGGCTCATACCTTTCCAAGGTGTTGTGCTTCGATGTATACCTCAGCTCAATACCTTTCCAAGGTGGTTAGAGTAGATGGTTCAGAGGGGCTCATACTTGCCTCTCAACTTAAGTAAGTATTTGGCTTTCATGTATTCATATTAGATATTTAGTGCCATTCCAAACTCTGGCGAATGGCATTTATTAGCGGGGCTGAACCAGATTCCGACGAGATAACACTACAGGCAGGATGGAATTGAGAGGAAGAGAGAGGTAGGGGAAGAGAGGAAGAAGGAGAAAGAGGTGGAGGGGGGGGGAGAGGGTAATAAGGGGGACCGTGATGGTAGGCCACTTAGGAAGAGAGGCTTCACTTGGTAAGATCATAAAGTGTGAATTAGTGAGGATGGTATTGAAAGTTGTGTGATCTTATAATGGATAGTTTGGAGGACTTTGTGATGGTGAATATAAGAGGAGTTGAAGGGAGTGGTAGTGTGTGGGAAGGTGAGAATTGTAAGTGGAGTTTGGATGTTTGAGTGGTGTCAATGTGATGAGTGTATAGGGCTAGGGAGGGAATGTAAGGGTTTAGGAAAGTTGCGTAGTATGGGAGGGATTGGAGCGTTTTGAGTGGGAGGAGAGGGTTGCTAACATGTTGTTTGTAGTTGCCACTAGTGTATAGATGTAGCATAGATCAGCTATCGTGGCTAATGATTCATTGTACACTTGTTTGAGATTTTTAGCTTGAGGATGTCTAGTACGGCTGGTGTATAGTTCGGTGCATGTCTAGTACTGGACATAGTTAATTTTAGCGTCTTTTGTCTGGTGTAATATAAATGTTAGTGAGTTTATTTATCACGTGGTCAGTACTTTGGATATTTTTTTTGTACTTGCTGTTCAATGTTGAAGTATATGTTCTTATTCAGTGGCTCAAGTACTTTGAAGTATTTTTTGTAGTTGAGTGTTGCTAATGTTAGTAGAGTTTCATATATCACTTGGTGCTAGTTTTGGTATGTTTTTTGTATTAGTGTCCAATGTTGCTAAATCTAGTTTCGACTTGTGCAAGTTTTGTAGCACTATTGTGTTTTCTACTTTTAGCGAAGTGTTAGCAACGGTGGTTAGTTGTGTTTTCGTCACAGTACCTTTGGACAATCATTAATATTTCACTGTACAGTACTTGAATATTCTTTTTCTTTAAATAAATAAATATTAATACACGCTTTATTTTTCACCTTGCTGCACAGTGCCTTTGCAATATTATTTTTCACCTTGCTGCACAGTGCCTTTGCAATATTATTTTTCACCTTGTTGCACAGTACCTTTGCAATATTATTTTTCACCTTGCTGCACAGTACCTTTGCAATATTATTTTTCACCATGCTGCACAGTACCTTTGCAATATTATTTTTCACCTTGCTGCACAGTGCCTGCATTATTATTTTTCACCTTGCTGCACAGTACCTTTGCAATATTATTTTTCACCTTACTGCACAGTACCTTTGCAATATTATTTTTCACCTTGCTGCACAGTGCCTTTGCAATATTATTTTTCACCTTGCTGCACAGTACCTTTGCACTATTATTTTTCACCTTGCTGCACAAGTACCATTGCAATGTTGAGTCTTCCCTTAAAGTTAAATGTCCCTAAAGATATTATTCACACTTATAATGTAGATTTAAAAATACATATTAATGATTGTTCGGGTAATAATGTCCATTACATAACTCGTGCCTTTATACCTTTGAAGAGTTTCAAGAGTTTTTCTACTTCCACAGCCCGGCCCTGGGCCAGGCTTGGGTGCTCAACCAGGCTGTTGTTGCTGGCGGCCCTCTGAACCACACGAACATCACCACAGTCTGGTTGATCCAGCACGTGTCGAGTTGCCTCTTGAAGACTTTTACATTTGTTCCGTACTACAACTATCACTACTACTATTGGTATCAACTATCACTACTAGTACACCACTACAAGTTCTACAACTATCAATACTACTAGTACTACAACTGTTTCTGATATTGTCTGGTAGGGTGTTAAATAGTTTAGGCCCACGGATGTTGATACAATGTTCCGTTATTGTGTCCACGGCGCCCCTGATTCTCACTTGAGTTTTTATGACAATAACCCTATTTTTTAAAGGGGTGGACCGATAGGCCAGCGGAAGGCCTCGGTTAGATAACTAAAAGCTCCAGCTGTGGGTCATCATATGACTAAGACCCGCGTCAGGAAACACTTGTCCTGTTTCCTGACGAATCTTACCAAACCAGAGGTTATTATACATTTTCTCTCAAATCTCTCACTTCATGTTATGGATTTGTTATTGGCAGTGTATACAATTTGGCGTACCATTGCCTCCACAGATATCATTTAGACTTTATTCCCCGATATTTATTCCTCCCTTCTGTTCACTATTTGACCTTTAGGACCCGCATAATAATGCTCCTAAACGGAACCTGTTTCTGTTCTTTGTTTGCTATTCTGTTCGTAAGTTATCAGACCTCATTCCTGGCATATATGCTTTTGTCCTTAACGGAAAGCAGCAAAATGATTTAATGTCTTTCGTTTTTGATTATATGGTTCACCACTAAATTCTATTCACGCATCTAATTACTTCGCTTCATATTATGACTTTTTGTGTTCTCTTATCAGCTGAAACAAATTAATTACATCGTCTTCAACCACTGTTCCTGTTATCTTTTGTGAATAGTAGTTACATCTCTCACATCTCTACTGTTTCTGTTATCTCTTTATTCAGCTGAAAAATAATTACATCGTCTTCACATCTCTACTGTTTCTGTTATCTCTTTATTCAGCTGAAAAAGCCTACTGTGTAAGCGAAACGTCTTGGAATAAAGATACCTGACTGTTGCGTATGTCTTAATTATCCTATAGTTTTACTTGGTAATCTTCTTGCGTTTTGTACAGTGTCCCTTTTGAGTTCTCCAGTGTTTCCGTATCTAAGAAGTTGGAACTTGTCACCACTGAACGTCATGTTGTTCTCCACTACCCAGTGGAAGACTGTTTATATCGTGTAATTTTCCGTATCTTATTTTGGTATCTGAAAATGATGATACAAAACTGGCTAGTGTTTTTATCCGACTAGCACTCAGTTACATGGTCATAGCACCCAGACACCTGGTGCTAGCACTCTGGCGTGGATCGTATCCTAGGGATGAGGACCCCTAATGAAAGTAAGCCAGACTTGTCTTTTCTGGGTTTATCCTGGGATGCTAAGCCTACGGGTTGCTAATCCCATTAAAATCATCACCTCTTTTGTCCTCAATCATTATTATCATCATCTGCTTCTTCGTTTTAGTTTTCCTCTCCTCCTCCTGCTCTTCGTCCTCCTCCTTTTCTATTTCTTGTTCATGTTCTTTCTTCGCCTCCTCCTCCTCCTTCATTTTCTCCTTCTCCTCCTCCTTTTTTTCCCTCCTCCTTTTTTCCCCTCCTCTTCCTCCGTGCCCTACGCTTCCTACTATTGTTGCTACTGCTGCTGCTCCTCCGTCTTCTCCTCCTACCCCTCCTCTTCCTCCTCCTTCTCCTCTTCCTTCCCGTCTTCTCCTCCTTCCCGTCCTCCTTCCCCTCCTCTTCCTCCTCCTCCTTCTTCTCCACTTCCTTCTCCGTCTTCTCCTCCTTCCCCTCCTCTTCCTCCTCCTCCTTCTTCTCCACTTCCTTCTCCGTCTTCTCCTCCTCCCCCTCTTAAAAAACAAATTTCACTTCGAAGTTTGATTGAGTTAACAGTAGAGACGTCCCACGTTTTCTGTGATGGAGCCGAGGTGCTGGTAGCTGGGTCGTTCTACCCGAGAGTTCACCCACCAACCCACCCGTACGACGCCTCTTCACCTCTCGCCTGTTTCTAATTTTCCCTCATCCAGACCTGCCTCTTGTAAATCGCCTGGTTGACCAGGCTATTGCTGTCGAAACAGTGTGTGCAACTTATGGTGACATACTTGTGACTTAAACGTGATATTATTTCTGATATACTGATCTGTGGTATACCTGTGATTGCTTTCAAGGGGTTTTCTACCCTCACAGCAATTCCTGAGGCTATTAATTTCTTTTACTGTTAGTGTAACATAGTTACCCCTTCACTGTTAGTGTAACATAGTTACCCCTTCACTGTTAGTGTAACATAGTTACCCCTTCACTGTTAGTGTAACATAGTTACCCCTTCACTGTTAGTGTAACATAGTTACCCCTTCACTGTTAGTGTAACATAGTTACCCCTTCACTATTAGTGTAACATAGTTACCCCTTCACTGTTAGTGTAACATATGTTACGCTTACACTTGTAGGTTACGTGTTACCCTTCCTGTTATGTAATATAGTTACCTCATGTTATGTACATAGTCCCTTCACTTTAGGGTAACATAGTTACCCTTCCTTTAGTGTAAAAAATAATTAACCCCTTCACTATTAGTGTAACATAGTTACCCCTTCACTGTTAGTGTAATAGTTACCCTTCACTTATTATGTACATAGTTACCCCTTCACTGTTAGTGTAACATAGTTACCCCTTCACTGTTAGTGTAACATAGTTACCCCTTCACTGTTAGTGTAACATACTGTGTGCTTACAGGCTCTGTACGAGCCTTACGGGTTTAGCGCTTCCCGGTTAATGTAATTATATTATTGTTTGTGCTTACAGGGAAATATTCTTCTTTTAGGGAAATAATAATAATAATAATTATATATTATTATTATTATTATTATTATTATTATGTATTATTATTATTATTGTTATTATTATGCTATATTATTATTATTATACTATATTATTATTATTATTTAGTATATCAGTACTGTGTTTGTGTTGCAGGAGCAGTCGTGATAGTGGCGACGACGGTCGTGATGGCGGCGGCGGCGGCCGCCACCTGCCAGAGAGGCGGGAGAGCGGCCGGTTCCCCACCGCCGCCAGACTCCTGCGGTCGCTTGGCCGCCACCGGGAGGAAGACTCAGGCGGGGCGCGAGCCAGGGAGAGCTCTGAGCCGCGCCTCACTCGCGCCAACCCTCACTACCATTCCGAGGGCAAGGGTCTCAAGAAGAAGAATAACTGGACGTCTGAACGAGAACTGAGCAACACCGTCACTCCCACACACAAGGAACGAAGCCACAGCTTCTGCGAGAAGACCAACAGTAAGAGACGATACTCCTACCATGATAATAAGATGTTGAGGGAGGAGGCAAGGGCACGTCTCGACCGTCAGGATGAGTCGCCCTTACAGGAGGGGTCGAGTCCTGACCCCACAAGTGAACATACCTCCCCGTCGCTAGCCCCAGCCTCACCCTCCCCGGAGAATGCAGAGAATATATATGAGAATTTGCCAGCACATTTAGGCAATGGGGAGACAGTTGTGAATGGTGGAGACAGCGGTGTGTGTCAAGACTCTACTGATGGGGGGTTGAAGGAGGCTCAGACGCGACCTTTGGACAGAGTGGAGCGGGAGAGAAGATCCGTCAGAAAGTTGACGAAGGATTCGGGGTACGAGACCTCACCCTATAGCGAGAGTGATTACGCTAACATTGACTTGTACTCTGAAGCTGATGCCAGGCTTGAGGGTGACGGTGACGATGTTACCCTGGCGCCGGAGTCTGAGCTGGCACCTCCGTCACCAGTCCTGCAGAGTGACGACTCTCAACTCACAGATACATCGCTCAACCTTCCTACCAGCTCATCTCCCACTCAGTACACCGACACAGCACACCACTTTCCTCCCAGCAGATCTCCCACTCAACACGCCGACACAGCACACCATCTCACTCCCAGCAGAATAAGGTAAGTACCCAAGCAGATCACAGCATTCCTTGTTTATATTAGAGATTAAAATAAATACCCAAGCAGATCTCATCTTTGTTGTTATAGACGGTTTATATGATGTAAAGTGTCTTTACCTCGACAGTGAGAGTGAGAAAAGGTACTTGGATGCCACCTCACTTTGACAGTGCTCTATAGAAAACTTTTAGAAGCATTCCCTGAGAGTAATGTGCACAACTTGTAAAAAAAGATTATTTAGGCACAGGTACACACAAGTACAATTATCATACATAGTGTAAATTACCTATAATAACCCCAAAATAGTCAGAGTGACTTATAACATTGGGGTCTTTGACTCTCTCACTGACGGCAGAACAACAGCGCAAACTCAGGATCACATACTGAGGTCTGTTTTAATCTTCTTAGTTTGTCATTATATCATAGGATTTAATACTTTCTTTATATGAATGTATAATAGTGCAAATAATCCAGGATCTGAGGTGATAAGTGTATGATAAGCAAGATAAGATATTGATAATGTAACCATTCCTCAGTGAGGAAGTGTCATGTGTGTTGGTGATACGTGGCTTCCTTTGTTTACCTTATATTTCTTGCTTAGCTTTGCTAATATTATGTTGCATGTCCCAGCTGCTAGCCAAGAACCACGTACCAGCTTCTTGGGCTACTTCCATTATGTTTTTAGTGTCATAAATATGAGTTTGAGTTGACTAGTGTAGCAGTGAGAAGGACAGTGTTCGGAATTTGGATAATGTGATGAAGTGACATGAGTATTTTAATATACTAGAAAACAAATATATATATATTAGTGGTTAATTTATTTTATAAGATGGTGTTTTTTTTTAGTTAACCATCCGCTGGTTTACCCTAACTGGGTTTTACACTTCCGTTTATAAAACAGAGGTTTACTTGTAGTGTTCTAGGAATGGAATTAAGGACACACCGGGTTTATGGATGTACCATGACAAGTCTCATTCAGCTTGCCACGAGCGGCAGATATTATGTGAGTAAACTAAGTGTACGAATGTCACCTTTCTGTCGTGGGATCGAGCATTTATGAAGCCTTGCTTGTAGCAAGTTGTGTTTGTGTGTGAGGGAAAGCGGTCGACACTATGTTGAAGTGGCGATACAGCAAGGTCCGACGTCGTAGCAGCAGCAGAAGTAGCAGCAGCAGACAGCGGCCCAGATCCTTGATGGAATGTGGATGTGACAGGTAATTTTATCAGCTGCAGATAGTTCAGGTCTCAGTCCCTCAGTTGTAGCTACATGCTGGTGTGAACCCTCATGTAGTAATTTACATGCTCTAAACAGGGAAAATCCTGTTATATACGATCCTTTAACCGTAGTGAGACTTTATAATGTATGTTGGTAAAGCATAAAGTTTGTCGATACAGCCCCACAGAGTGGCTTTAAAGCCCACATTGAGGATTTATCAAGTATGTTGATACAGCTCCACAGTGGGACTTTATAAAGTATCTCTACAGAGCCCTAGTTTAGGGCTTTATCACTCACAGTGGCGAAGCTACAACTGTCTTATCAGAGTAAAGACTTCAGACGTGAAGGACACTGAACTGGGACGGCCTTCATTGGTGAGGCTGCTAGAATTACCCACACAATGTTAGGTTAAAGCACACACACGCAGCTAATGTCACATTGTGGCAACGTTTCGCTCTTCAGGAGCTTTGTCAAGCCGTTGGAAACGTTGCCACAATAAAATGTCACATTAGTTGCATCTGTGTCCTTTATTGTATATTTTGCTCCGCTGTGGAAGAAACGTGTCAAAATCATGTTTCTCACAGCTCCTCATGTGTGAAGTCTTTCCTTGTATCAACCAGCAGTAACAGCCTGGTTGACCAGGCAAGCACCAGACGAGCCTGGACCAAGGCCGGGCTCCGGGAGTAGAATAACTCTGGGAACCCATCAAAGGTATAACATAAGTTTTCTCTTGCTCTCACGTGGTATTATTCCCTTCATATATCCCAAGTCATATATATTTTATTGTTATATTAATGGGAAGCGCTAAACCCATGCGGGTCATACAACGCCTGGGGAATAGGAGGTAATCAGGTTTGAACCGAATAAGTGGGAGTAGTGTAGGATAAGTGGTAGCAGTAGAGTAAGATAAGTGATAGCAGTAGAGTAAGATAAGTGGTAGCAGTAGTGAAGGATAAGTGGTAGCAGTAGTGAAGGATAAGTGGTAGCAGTAGTGAAGGATAAGTGGTAGCAGTAGTGTAAGATAAGTGGTAGCAGTAGTGAAGAATAAGTGGTAGCAGTAGTGAAGGATAAGTGGTAGCAGTAGTGAAGGATAAGTGGTAGCAGTAGTGAAGGATAAGTGGTAGTAGTAGTGCAGGATAAGTTGTAGCAGTAGTGTAGGATAAGTGGTAGCAGTAGTGTAGGATAAGTTGTGGTAGTAGTGTAGGATAAGTGGTAGCAGTAGTGTAGGATAAGTGGTAGTAGTAGTGTAGGATAAGTTGTAGCAGTAGTGTAGGATAAGTGGTAGTAGTAGTGTAGGATAAGTTGTAGCAGTAGTGTAGGTTAAGGGGTAGTAGTAGTGTAGGATAAGTGGTAGCAGTAGTGTAGGATAAGTGGTAGCAGTAGTGTAGGATAAGTGGTAGCAGTAGTGTAGGATAAGTGGTAGTAGTAGTGTAGGATAAGTTGTAGCAGTAGTGTAGGATAAGGGGTAGTAGTAGTGTAGGATAAGTGGTAGTAGTAGTGTAGGATAAGTGGTAGAAGTAGTGTAGGATAAGTGGTAGTAGTAGTGTAGGATAAGTGGTAGTAGTAGTGTAGGATAAGTTGTAGCAGTAGTGTAGGATAAGTGGTAGCAGTAGTGTAGGATAAGTGGTAGTAGTAGTGTAGGATAAGTGGTAGTAGTAGTGTAGGATAAGTGGTAGCAGTAGTGTAGGATAAGTGGTAGTAGTAGTGTAGGATAAGTGGTAGCAGTAGTGTAGGATAAGTGGTAGTAGTAGTGTAGGATAAGTTTTGGTAGTAGTGTAGGATAAGTGGTAGTAGTAGTGTAGGATAAGTGGTAGCAGTAGTGTAGGATAAGTGGTAGTAGTAGTGTAGGATAAGTGGTAGCAGTAGTGTAGGATAAGTGGTAGTAGTAGTGTAGGATAAGTGGTAGTAGTAGTGTAGGATAAGTGGTAGCAGTAGTGTAGGATAAGTGGTAGTAGTAGTGTAGGATAAGTGGTAGCAGTAGTGTAGGATAAGTGATAGCAGTAGTGTAGGATAAGTGGTAGTAGTAGTGTAGGATAAGTGGTAGTAGTAGTGTAGGATAAGTGGTAGCAGTAGTGTAGGATAAATGGTAGTAGTAGTGTAGGATAAGTGGTAGCAGTAGTGTAGGATAAGTGGTAGTAGTAGTGTAGGATAAGTTTTGGTAGTAGTGTAGGATAAGTGGTAGTAGTAGTAGTGTAGGATAAGTGGTAGCAGTAGTGTAGGATAAGTGGTAGTAGTAGTGTAGGATAAGTGGTAGCAGTAGTGTAGGATAAGTGGTAGTAGTAGTGTAGGATAAGTGGTAGTAGTAGTGTAGGATAAGTGGTATCAGTAGTGTAGGATAAGTGGTAGTAGTAGTGTAGGATAAGTGGTAGCAGTAGTGTAGGATAAGTGGTAGCAGTAGTGTAGGATAAGTGGTAGTAGTAGTGTAGGATAAGTGGGTAGTAGTAGTGTAGGATAAGTGGTAGCAGTAGTGTAGGATAAGTGGTAGTAGTAATGTAGGATAAGTGGTAGCAGTAGTGTAGGATAAGTGGTAGTAGTAGTGTAGGATAAGTTTTGGTAGTAGTGTAGGATAAGTGGTAGCAGTAGTGTTTATCTGGAGAGAGTTCCGGGGGTCAACGCCCCCGCGGCCCGGTCTGTGACCAGGCCTCCTTAGGTCAGTGTCCCAGGATGCGACCCACACCAGTCCACTAACACCCAGGTACCCATTTTACTGATGGGGAACATAGACAACAGGTGGAAAGAAACACGTCCAATGTTTCTACTCTGGCTGGGAATCGAACCCAGGCCCTCACCGTGTGAAGCGAGAGCGTTAACCACCAGGCCACCAGAGTGATAAGTGATAGCAGTAGTGTAGGATAAGTGGTAGCAGTAGTGTAGGATAAGTGGTAGCAGTAGTGTAGGATAAGTGGTAGCAGTAGTGTAGGATAAATGGTAGCAGTAGTGTAGGATAAGTGGCAGTAGTAGTGTAGGATAAGTGGTAGCAGTAGTGTAGGATAAGTGGTAGTAGTAGTGTAGGATAAGTGGTAGCAGTAGTGTAGGATAAGTGGTAGCAGTAGTGTAGGATAAGTGGTAGCAGTAGTGTAGGATAAATGGTAGCAGTAGTGTAGGATAAGTGGCAGTAGTAGTGTAGGATAAGTGGTAGCAGTAGTGTAGGATAAGTGGTAGTAGTAGTGTAGGATAAGTGGTAGTAGTAGTGTAGGATAAGTGGTAGACGGCCCCGTTCAAGGCAGGAGAAATATCTGAGCTGGAACAAATAGAGATCGTTTACGGCTCACATTGAGCCAGTGAAGCATCTAAACTACTGGGAACGCCTGCAAGTCTTGAACATGTACTCATTGGAGCGGAGGAGAGAGAGGTACATGATAATATATACCTGGAAGGTACTCGAGGGCTTGGTCCCAAATCTGCACACTGCCATAACAACATACGAGTGAGAGATATGGGAGGAAGTGTAAAATAAACCCAGTGAGGAGCAGGGGTGCGGTGGGGACAATAAGGGAACACTATCAACATCCGGGGTCCCAGACTATTCAACATCTTACCAGAAGATATCAGAAACACGGCTGGAACCAGTGTAGAAGCCTTCAAGAGGAAACTGGACAAGTATCTTCACCAGGTGCCAGATCAACCAGGCTGTGATGGATATGTGGGGCAGCGAGTCTCCAGCAGCAACAGCCTGGTTGACCAGGCAAGCACCAGACGAGCTTGACCCATGGCCGGGCTCAGAGAGTAGATAAACTCTCGTGATGTTAGGTAAGTTGTAGTAGGATAAGTGGTGGTAATGGTGGCAA